GCTTTTTTATTTTTCTCCCAACCAGGAGGGGAGGCCATCCATGCTTGTAACGTTAGTTAGGGAGCCTTGCGACTTGGATCGACAGAGGCAGAGTGCCAGTCGAGCCTCTCGAGGTTGCCTTACTTAAGTCCCTGCCCCATCGGGGTTGCTCCCCACACCGTTGGCCAGGTCTAAGTGTTCGGTTTGAATCCAAGCCTAGTGAACGCCTTCTCTTCCATTTACTTCTCTCCCATCGGTCTTCATCGGCTTCCAGCCCATCGAGAAGTGGATGCCAACTGCTGGGATCTCAGCATCAGCTTGCTTCAGCTACTTCCATTATTATGAGCGATGTACAGTCCTGGCACCGAGGCTCATGACGAGGATCCTGAGGACATGCTGCCATCGCAGAGGACAAGCTGCCTTGCATAGTCAGTGAGCGTGTCATGTAACGCAACTTGCCACTGCAGCAGTTGTGCTCGCTGTTGCCCTGCGTAATCTACTATAGTCGTGTTACAGCTGCTCTGTCTCTAGTCTAAGTCGTAGTAGGCTCCCCTGCAAGCCGGCAGATGTCGTCGATGTCGTGGAGTGACAGTGAGTCTCTGGGGTCGGACTGGATTCTGGTTGACGATGAGGGTGCAAGCACTGCGGGCTCGGTCGCGGACAGTTTTGACGACGATGATTCTGTGATTCGGTTCGGCACGATGCTAGAGGAGTGCTTTTCGACATTGTGGATGTTTCTGAATTCTGAAGAGCGTGGGCAAGTCTTGCAAGTAGCCTGGTATGTCAATGACATGATCCTGTGCGTACTCGTTCCAAGATTTGTGCGGGATTTCGGGCAAGGCAGAGTGCCACGAATTTTATATTACAATGTGTCAGACGAATTTGTGTCGTCACTGAATCAATGATTTGTCGTGTTTGTACAGCCTCCGAGACCGTATTACGGATGTTGGGGAAGGCAGAGTGCCGGGTTTGCGTGTGCTTAGAGGATTTTTGAATTCGACGATCTAGCCAGCAGAGCTAGACTGTCCGATTTGAGACCTCAGCGGTAGTGTGCGCAACTTGGATTCAAAAAGGTTACCCAGCATGACATGCTGACTACACAGTGCCGGGTGGCAGTGACGTCCTCAGGACCCTGCTGTCTCCGAGGCTGGCTGCCTGCCTGCCTGCCTGCATAGTCTGTCAGTGAGTTGCCTTGCACCATACATGATAGACATCTGTCTGCCGGCCAGGGAATCAAGTGATTCATTCATACTGATGTAACAGTAGTAACACAATGTTACATATCATTGATTAATGTACTGTATAGTGATGCATTAGTCACTGTTAATGTTTTAATCGTTGGACAATTGTGTGCTCGATGAAAGCAGTGATGCCGACGACCTGCTCTGTCTCTAGTCTAAGTCGTAGTAGGCCTCCCTGCAAGCCGGCAGATGTCGTCGATAGTCTCTGGGCTCGGTCTCGGACTTATTGGCTGTTGGCGAGTTTGCAAGCACTGCGGCGTTTGGGGGTTCGTTTGCGGGCTCGGTCGCGGACAGTTTTGACGACGATGATTATGTGATTTATTTCGACGAGCTGCTAGAGGAGTCCTTTTCGACATTGTGGTTTTTTCTGAATTTTGAAGAGCGTGGGCAAGTCTTGCAAGTAGACTGGCATATCAATGACATGATCCTGTGCGTACTCGTTCCGAGATTTGTGCGGGATTTCGGGCAAGGCAGAGTGCCAGGAATTTTATATTACAATGTGTCAGACGAATTTGTGTCGTCACTGAATCAATGATTTGTCGTGTTTGTACAGCCTCGGAGACCGTATTACGGATGTTGGGGAAGGCAGAGTGCCGGGTTTGCGTGTGCTTAGAGGATTTTTGAATTCGACGATCTAGCCAGCAGAGCTGGGCTGTCCGATTTGAGACCTCAGCGGTAGTGTGCGCAACTTGGATTCAAAACGGTTACCCAGCATGGCATGCTGACTACACAGTGCCGGGTGGCAGTGACGTCCTCAGGACCCTGCTGTCTCCGAGGCTGGCTGCCTGCCTGCCTGCCTGCATAGTCTGTCAGTGAGTTGCCTTGAACCATACATGATCGACATCTGCCGGCCAGATAATCAAGTGATTCATTCATACTGATGTAACAGTAGTAACACAATGTTACATATCATTGGTTAATGTACTGTATAGTGATGCATTAGTCACTGTTAATGTTTTAATCGTTGGACAATTGTGTGCTCGATGAAAGCAGTGATGCCGACGACCGTTTCAAGGTGCTCAGGGAGTTCCGAGGCAGAGTGCCAGAGTTCTGATGCTGACCATCATCAGGCCAATCACATTGACCTTGGCAGTGATTACTGGAACGAAGCCGTGCAACAACTTCGGTGGAATTGTTTACACTGTGGCAGATCAGCTGCCGACTATACCACTGGGCTCCGAAAGATCCAAAGGGCTGCACAATTGGATCAAAGAATCAAATTGGCAGTTGATGCCATCTCAGATTTCGGAGATATGGATATGAAGTTGTACAAAGCATGGACCGGCCAGACAGATGTGCTGCCTGGGTCGATCCCGCCACCTCGGCCATGCCAGCATGATGTCGAGACGTGGCCCATGGATGATGTTTTGATTTACGACCATCCCCAGTGGCAACTGTTTGTTGGCAGTATTGGTTGCCCGATCCGATATGACCAGCTCCGGGTCAAGCCTGACATTGTCATCTCTATGAATGCAGATGACAGACCTCGGAATTTTGAGCCATGGGACTGGTATCAGTATTTGGCGAATTGTGGACCGTTTGGCACTGCACATCTTCGGTATGGTGGCTGGGATCAAACACATGCCAATGACTTTGATGCTGAACAAAGAACTCATGAGTTCAAGAGCATTTGGCGCCACCTCATTTCAGATTTCAGAAAGATTATGATGTGCTGGCAGCGCTCAGAAGAGGAGTTCAGCCAGAGTCAAAGGCAGAGTGCCATCAAGGGCAAAATGATGGGCAAGGCCATTGGCAGCAAGGGCAAGGGCAAGACAATCAGCAAGGGCTACAGCGGCCCCTGTCAGGTTTCCAATCACATGCAAAGCCAGAAGGCATCGACGAAGGGCTCATTTGGCTATGGCTGATCCTATGACAAGGGCTTCAGCAAGGGAAGTGACATGGGCAGCCTGTTCGGAAGAGCCGCTGATGGAAGGCAGAGTGCCGATGGAAGGCAGAGTGCCTTGAAGGTGGCCGATGAGACATTCCCTGGTGAGCTCGGTAATGCTCTTGCTTTGTTGGAGGAGATGAAGCTTCAGGGAGGTGGTCGGAAGCGTGGAGGCAAGAAGAGGCCAATTCGTGTGCTTGTCCATTGCTACGGTGGCATTAACAGGACCTGTGCTGCTTATTGTGTCCTAGTCATGGCCTTTGCCTCGATGACCATGGAACAAGCCATTGTCAGGTGGATCAAAAACCGAGCCTACTATGCTCCATTCCGGGATCGTGAGTACATGATTGAAACACTGCTGGAAATGCAGGATGAGCTGCACACGTACAGTTGATCATCGACACTGAACCCGAAGTCCATGGTCAAACAGTTCTGTTCCAATGAATGATTCTGAGCCGTCGAAATTTGTGTCCCGACACTGGCCCAGCCAGAGAGTCCTGGACCCGACACTGGACTGCTGGCTGGAAGTGAAACACAGTCCGTACCTTGAAAAGGCTAATAGTTACATTCCCACTTTCAGCTGGCAGTCACAGCTTAATTCGTGCGTTTAAACCTGGCTGCCGGTGTTACTGACTGAGCTTAAAAAGAAAGTGAGATCCTGCCCGTCTCGGTTGTGGAAACTGTCAGTTCCTTTGTCGGTTGTGCCGACATGGTGATCAGGGCCGCTGGGGCGATTGGATGAGTGAATCCAGCCGGCGACTCAGTGGGTGCAAATGTGACTTTAACAGTCAGTCTCCGGTGATTGTAATGAGTGCGCATTTTTGCCTACTTGTGCTGTTGCAGCAGTCTGGTTCAGGTAAGGCAGAGTGCCCTTGTCCCAATTGTGCAGTGGGCAAGTCATTATCCGCCATGGAAAACAAAGGGGCAGGCCGCCACCGCACTCAGCTGCAAGAGTTTTCAAGTTGGCAGCTGTCCAACTTGAACAACGCCGCTCATTCATCCCAAAGAACAAGTCAGGTCGGGAAGGGAGGAACTCCGATCGGGAAGGGAGGAGGAAAGCCAGGGCCAGGGCAGAGTGCCAGTGCGAGCAAGGGCGATCTTGGCAAGGGCAAGGGAAAGAAGGGCAAAACCCCGATGCAAGACCCCAACCAGATCCTTCACACATACTTCATGTGCGTGGAGGACGTTTGGCAGGCAGTGGGCAGTGTATTTGATGATAATCATAGCATGTGTTGATTGTGAGTGTTTCTTACTGCTTGACTGGATGTCTCCGTGCAGGTTCGCTGGCACTTCTTCAAAGCGAACGGCGTCGGCTCTTGGGCGCAACCCGGTGCCTCGGAGCACAAAGGCCATCCACACTGGTCCTTGCGCCCCACGGCCCAGTTGGCCCTTGAACGCTACCAATGGTGGCCGAAGTGCATTAGATGGCCACTCAGATTCAAGCAATGCTTCGACGCTACATGCGACACATGAGGCTTGCCTCTACTAGCTTTATTTTCCTAGGAGAGTTTTGAAAATTACTGCGAAGTTTTCAAAACGCCTTTGCTTTATTTTGAACCACATTTCATGGCATGAATGCATGCTTTGAATCGTCTGAGTTCATCTCTTTTATTTCCCGCGCCGCCTCGAGACAGGGGTGGGAGGGGTGGGTAGCTGCTCCCTGGCCAAAGGGCCGGAAATTTTTGTAGAAGTGGGGAGTAGCGTTGGCCATGCTGGCTTGACAAGGCCGATCTGCAGCCAGCATGTCGGGAGGGGACTCTCTTGAAAGCAGCCTCAAGAGGGCTCGTGTGCTTGGGGCTTATGAGAGTCACTGTGTGTCATCGACTCGTGTGGCATCCCGAGGGATTGGAAACGCAGTTAAGATGCCGTGGGAAGTATCTTCTGCTTTTCTTGACATGCCTGCTTTGCCTTCACCTTACGCCAAAGGTGGGAGCATAGTGTCAATGCCTGTGGGGCCGGCCGTCCCTGCAGGGCCGGTTAAGTCGTCTTCAGGAAAGCTTGAATCACTCAGGCTTGCAGGAGTGAGGGTCCCGAATGCACCGGGGCAGAGCTGGGATCAAAAACTCTCCGAAGCAAGGGAGGCGGCTTTGGCAAAGTGGCTTGGGATTCTTGAGAGGTTCCCCGAGGATTTTGGTTTGACTTTGTCGATTCGGTTAGACCGGGAAAATGGGCGAGATTCCGACTTGAAGACCTCATTGCAAGATGTGTTTTCTCAGAAGGCGAGCGTCACAATCTCAGGCCGTGCCGGGCCTCTAGCCAGGTACGTCAAGCATTGCCGAGGTCACCAGGTCGATCCTTTCCCTGTCACCGAAGCCGGGGTCTATGCTTTCCTTCAAGACTATGCATCACACGAGGCGCCCACTTTCGCAAGGAGCTTCTTGAGCAGCCTCGCTTTTGCAAAGTTCACTGTGAGCTTGAAGGTGAGCGATGAAGTCTTTAGCCCCAGGGTTCGTGGGCTGTCGTCGAAGCTATATCTTGACAAGAGACAGACTCGACAGAAGCCAGCTCTTAAAGTTGATCATGTGCGCAAGTTGGAAGCCATTGCATCTGGCTCGATCAATCTCGAACCCGCAGATCGGGTCGCTGCCGGCTTCTTTGTTTGGACCCTTTACGCACGAGAGAGTGATACCCCAGATGGCGTTGTGGGATACCTTGAGGCTGCTGTTGAGCGAAGCAAAACTTCGTTTTCACTGGAAAGAAAGGTCAGGTATTTGCACATGTTCGCTCCCATCCAGGGAATAGGCGAGGTGCCCTGGGGTGTTAAGTGGTTTGAGTTCTATAAAGTGCATGGGCCTCCTTTGGGGACGGGTAAGCCCTTGCTTCCGAGTCCGCTCTCTGGAGGAGGGTGGCAAACGGCGCCGCTGGCGGTGGCAAGTGCCACGAAATGGATGAAGTCACTCTTGATCCGTGCAGGATGCGACAGGTCTTCCGTCGAACCGCTTGGGACGCACAGTCTCAAGGCGACGACCTTGAGTTGGAGCGCCAAATTCGGATTAGCCCGCGAGGTGAGGGCGGCCCTTGGTTTTCACGCCAGGGGCCGTGATGGAACCGAGATCATCTATGGGAGAGACAACATGTCTGCTCCTGTGCGCCGGCTGCAACAATTCCTGCTCGAAGTGTCACGCGAAAGGTTCATGCCGGATGCCACCAGGTCCGGCTACTTCGTGAAGCGCTTTGGAGATCCGGAGGGGATGCCCATTCCTCCTGACGAGGTTCTGTCGGATTCTTCTTCCGAGGCCAGCGAGGATGCCGAGGATGTCGATCATGAAGCTGCGGAGGCCGCCGCCGATGAGTTGGGGAGGCAATGGGAGCCCGATGCAGGCTTGCGGGCCGAGCTTGAGGCAGTCCCTTTGTTCAGGAATAAAGACAGCCGTTTCATTCATGCAGTCGTGTCCGAGGAGGGCGACAAGTTCAGATGTGGCAGGAGCATCTCAACCAGGTATGCAAGGCTGTCTTCCGTCCCGCGAATTTTGTTTCCGTTGTGTAGGAGCTGCTGTCCACCTAAGAAGTGATGCCGAGGAGATGCTTTAGAAAAGAAGGGATTTCTGAGTGTCTGGAGCGTGATTCCTGAGCTGAGTGATGCGATAGCTTGAGTGAATGCGAGGGTCGTGAGTGATGTGCACTAGAACAAGGCATCGTTGTTCCGAGGAGTCGGCTCAGTCTTTTAGAGTCTGCGCTAACACTGGTCGGCCGGAGTCCAGCTCACGCATCGCATTGTGTATGCATTAGAACATGCTGACATACTTCATGTGACTTTTAAGCGGATTGCTAGCCGGGTCCTTCTCCTGAAGATGGCGAACTACTCTGAGAGCCAATCGGTTCTGCAGTCACGATTGAGCGTCGTGGGTTTCGCGGAAGGAGATGTCTTGAAAATTCTGCCTGAGGTGGGAAACTTGAGGAGGCTGGCTTTCATTTCTTCTTTCACCCCTGGCCAGACAGACGAGGAGCCTTTGATGCGGGTGTTGAAGGATATCTTGAAACGAGATCTGACAATCGCAGACAAGGCCAATTGGCGTGCGGTGTACAATGAGGCTTATGCCATTGTGACCGCGGAAATGAAGCAGCGGATCGAGAAGGCCGATCCCGAGTCGACTGTCAGGCCATTGTCGCAGCCTGAGAGGTCTGAGCGTTACGAGCGGCAGGCAAAGAAGCTTGTCGGAATTTCGCTAAAGGGGCCTCTGGAGCCTGCCGATGCACTTGTCGACCTTGCTGTGGCCTCCTACGAGGCGAATGAGCTCAGGTACATTCCGTGGGACCGGTGTGTGTCAAAGGAAGCTGAATTGGCTGGCGAGAAGAAGCGAGATGTTAGGTTCACGGTCGAAGAGTCCTCTGGCAAGCTTCGGATTGAGCATAAGCAGCCTGACTTGGTTGCGGACACTTCATCAGAGATTCTTGTTCAGCAGGCCCTCACGAGGAGGTCTCTGGCCATGGATCAGGCGAACCTGATCGATTTCAGTGTCTCCGACCAATGGACTCAGCGCTTGATGAAGGCTCGCATGCAGACACCTGCGGAGCATTTTGTCAGGCCCACTTGGAAGCAGCTTGAGTCGGCGGATCGGCAGCTGTTTGCCGAGCTTCGTGATAAGACCAGGGCAGGAGTGCAGACCGTCGCATCGGGTCGCCCGTTGGACACACTTCTGCCAGATGCGATGTACATGAACGAAGTGTCATGCTTATTGCAACCTTTTCCGGCCCCTGCCCTAAAGTGGCCCTAAAGGATGTTCCCCAGAAGCCGGATGCTCCCAAGTGGGAGAGGCCATCTCCTTACACCAAAGGTGGGGGCAAAGGAAAGAAAGGTAAGCAGAGGTTCATGACAAGGTTGCCCGCCGGCTTGGAAGGCTGCAGGTCCCACACTAATCGTGGGGACCCAATCTGCTTTGCCTTCAACCTGGGAGGCTGCTCGACGAAGGGGCAGAAGTGCGAGAAGGGCTTGCACATCTGTGCAGTGCCTAAGTGCGGTGCTCATAACCATGGTGCAGCGCAGTGCCCAAAGCGGGCTCAGGGTGGCTCGTGACTAGCTGGTCTCGAGGGTGCTTCGCAGGCGGCCGGTGCTCCAGAGAGTGTGCATCCGCCGGTAGCGAGGACAGCACAGGTGGATGATCTCCGAGAGGGAGTTCATCGGCCGAGCAATGCATGCGCGGGCGGCTCTCCTCCGAGTGGAGTGGATTGTCGTCCGCAATCAGGTGTTGATCGAGAGGATCATCACGGCTCTCACAGTGCCATCGCCAGGCCATCACCAGGTGTGGTGGAGGCCGCACGCAGCAGGTCCCCGAAGCCCCGTGACGGGGCGGAGTCACGGAGCGGCACAACGAGCTCTTCACTTGACGAGGGTCATGTGAGTGCCACCGATGTTCTGCGAGTCTTCGATGGTCTTCCTTCGGATGCCTTGAAGAGGGGTGCCGATGCACCTCTCCCAACTTCGAAATCTTATGCCACGGGAGCGTATGTTCTTGGTGGTAATGTGGGCTTGAAGGCCAATGCCTCAGCCAACCCTGAGGCGCTCAAAGTCTTTGCAAGGTTTGTGAGACAGCGTGCACCGGGGTTTAAATTTTCTTCAATAAATATATTCGAGGATGTTCGCACTGAGCGCCATCGTGATCAGTGGAATGCCAACTTGCATAACTTGGCGATTGCACTGACTGAATTCTCAGGTGGAGCCATCTTTGTGGAGCATGAAAACGGTCGGGATGTATCCGACCTTAAAGAACTTTTCTCAGTAACTGGTGTTCCCAGCATAACTGGTGTTCCTGGGTTTTGGTTGGTACGCCTGCTGTGATATGGCTTGTTTTGGGCTGAGTCCTGAAGCTCAGTCACGGCACGATCGGCAATTGGATGCGGCTGGTAGGACATGGCTGCTCATTTTGGGCGCCCCCTGTGCGAGCAGTGCCGAAGTATCACTGTAAAATTGTCACTGAGTTTGAATTGTACAGTCTGTACAGTGTCTTGTAACTTGTAAACTGTTTTTGGCTCAAAGTTCAAGGCTGGGTGTGACTGACTTACTTTGTAAGAAAACACCCACCTTGATTGTACAGTGCAGTCTGTTTCACAACTTGTATAATATGTTCGGCTCAAAGGCTCGGTCCGCCATGCGGGATTGAAAGCAAAACAAGCCCTAAACTCTAAACCCTGGCCCATGTTATATGAAAGACGCAGTAGCAACCACTGCCAAACTATGTTACCAACTATTATTTGCCGCTGCTATTATTATTATATTATTACTATTATTATTATTATTGTTATTATTATTGTTGTGATTACTATTGTTATGCGCCGCACGTTTTCTGAATGTCAATGTGCCCAGCCTCAGACTACTCAGTCAGTGAGTGCGAGAGAGACTGAGAGTGGCAGTCAAGTTTTGCTTTTTTTTGGTTGTGCTGAGCCTGGACACTGAGTGCAGCTGCTCAAATCAGATGCCCGCGGAGTCACAAACATCATGTGGCATTTAGAATCGGGTTCCGGAGCAGGCTGAAGGGTGCAGGGCCTTCGGGGTTCGCTGTGCCGTGCCATCATACAGGACTCAGTCGGATTCTGAGTTTTAGCGTGAGTGATGGCACCCAAAGCCATTATGGAGTTATCTGATTCAGATGCAGAAGCCCCGCGGTCCGCGGCCTAGCGTCAGGTTTCATTCCCAAAGTGTCCATGATCAGACCATCATTATGATATTATTACTGTTGTCAGTTCTGCCTTCAAGGCCACAAAAAAGACCGAGCATGATGAAGTCCAAGGCCTGCGGTAAGTGTAGAGGGCAACTTTCAGTATGATTGCGTAGGTCGTACTCGCTGTGAGCAGGAGAGTGCTGCTGCCAACGACTCGAAGGCGCCGTCACTACTAAATCTTGGGTCATGAGTCAGTCATCAGCAGGACAGCACAGACAGTCGCCGTCTGGGTTCAGTCGGTAGGTCCGCAGTGGAAAGCTTCAAAAGGCAGGGCCAGGGTCGTTCACTGTCATACCGGACTTGGCCAACGAGTTTTGGTTCGTTGGCAGGCCAACGAACCAACTTCTTCGAAGCGGAAGGTGGGCCAGGAATGCCGTTTGAGACCCACGTTCAGAATAAAAAGCCACTGGCAGGTGAGGAGTGAAGTTGAAGAGCGGAAGGTGGACCAGGAATGTCGTTTGAGATCCATGTTCAGAATCAAAAGCCACTGACTGGCAGGTGATGAGTGAAGTTCAAGATGCTCTTTCAAAGCAGAAGTTCCAGGTGCGACGCCCCTCGGTTCCTGGTCCGTTCATGGAGCATGTCTTGGACAGGCCACAGCAGAGAAGGATACCACTGCCAAGAAGCTTAAGGCAGGACCGGCGCAGTGGTGATCATTATTGGAACTTCTCTTTAATCATGTTGTGGCCCGATGCAGGTTCAGAATCAGGAGGGCGCTTCCGCCGCCGCCGTGAAGGACCGGTCACACTGTACTTTGAGCATTTCTTGAATTTATATGCTTCAGGTACAGAATCAGAAGCAGAAGGCCGCCTCCGAGGGCCACTTGAAGGCAGGGACCGGTCACCTTGAGTTTGATAGATTTTATTTTATCTAACCTATGGTTTTTGGGTTCCCTTAGCTCTTTAGCTCCTTATTAAGTAGGGATTATCATCACCCCGGGCCACTTGAAGGCAGCAGCGGTCACTGTAATTTGAGCATATCTTGAATTTACATGCTGCAGGTACAGAATCAAAAGCAGAAGGCAGCATGCGCCAAGGGCCACTTGAAGGCAGGGCCTGTCACGCTGATTGACTCTAAGCATAATTGATAAGACCGATTCCATTGGCACGCGACGGCTCAATCAGTGCAGTCCAGTTTCAAGGAGTCCAATGTCAGCCCTGAGTCCGTAGCTAGTCACAGCTAGTCTAGTACACTGAGTGACTTTGAAAGCGGCGGGCAAATTGCTTTGAAGACTTTAAGATTTAATTTATTTAGTGGTGGTAGCTAGCCGGGTCCGTGATGAGACTTCGCATTGGTCGCTTTGCTCGCGGATTCCGGAAGTGGTGGCGCGAACATTCTGCTCATGCTGCTCTCATGAAGTCATGGGGATTAAGCGCAGTCCCGACGGAGGAGGAGTTTGTCATGACGCCTGAGTCGACTGAGTCGCAGCTTCTGAAAGATGTCAAAGCTCTCTATGCTAAGTGCGAAGGGCTTTTTGAGCTGATAAAAGATGTGAAATTCCAGCAAGACAGGATCCATATGCAGCTTATAGCCACTACTCAGAAACTGGACGAGGTGAAGGAGGAGTTCGATAATTTATCTTTCGATGTTGGCGAACCCAATCATGGCGCAGCATCGTCGTTGCGGCAACAAATTCAGGAGCTGCAGACCGACCTGGAATCCGTGAAGTGCCGAGTGGATGGCTTGACGCGTCTCGGAGTTCACATTTTGCCATAGGGCAGCTAGCCGCTAGCCTCGTTTTGCTGTGGCTTGGGGACAGATCCTTGAAGGTGCTGTCCTGTTGTTGCCGCGAGCTGACTGGCACCGCAGTTGAAACACTTGCTTGCTACTGAGGGTCTGTGATGCACACAACACATTGACATGTCTCTTCCCCCCTTGAAGCTGTTGCACGCTTTTGCATTCAGGGGACTTGATTAATATTCTGATGTTTGTTCGTTAGGCTCCGAAGCTGTCACAGTGACAGGGACAATGTAATGCAGAGCAGAACAGAAACAGCCGTAACGTGACATGTCATGCCAATCCTATTCGACTTGGCTTTTAAATTGCTAGACTAGAAATTTGATTTGCAGGCTAGCACTGACTGTCTGGATGGAGGATGGAGGGCTCCGAGGCTGCAGCTGCAGCAGCTGACTCTTCCAGCGAGGTGGACTCCTCTGAGACCTCCACTATGAGCATGGTGTCCCGGCACGTCTTCGACTTGCAAGTGCAATTCGATCGTCAACGCGAGGAGCTGGTTGCCTTGAGGGCTCGTTGCGAAAGGCTGGAGGCTTCACTGGCTCAGCAACAGTCTCGACTTACATGGCTTGAGCGGCTGATGCAGCGGATTAACCTTGCTTTTCTCGAGTGTTGATGTATGGGACTTCGGAGCCAGACGCCTCAACAGTGAGCGAATCTTCCAGAGGTGGTGTGCAAAGCTGACAGTTTTGAGCAGTGCACGGCTTGCTTGGTCGGCTTGTGTGAAAAAACGATGGGACTGACAGGGTCTTGAAACTAAGAGTCGACACGGCCGGCCATCATTTGCTAACTTAGCACGGGGTTGCAGGTTCTAGGGGTTTAGCTTAAAATCTTTGTGTTCAGATGGTGGCGGTCATTGGGTTTGACGTCTCGGTCAGACAAAGAATATGAAAGCAGAATGCGGCCAGTCCCGCCGGTAATCAGAAATCCCAAACCTTGCAAAATACTTTCCCATGTTCTAATAAAATAGGGAAACTAAAGAAGTTGTTAAATTCTCGTAAAACACCCTCTGAAAGACCCATTGCCATATGAAAGACCCTTTGCCTCATCCGCGGGATTCCCTCTCCTCCCTCCCTGCTTCATTGCCAGTCTCCTGTAATAACTACTAGCACTTGCCTTTCGCTCTTTGCCGCTGTCAGGTGCAGAAGAAGGAGGTTTCAAAGGACGAGGGATTGACAAAGAAGAAGAAGAAGGACACACAGCAGCAGCCAGGTACGTCTGTTGCATTTGTTTTCCAAATTGACATTGAGGAACAGTCGCGAGCTTCGAAGACACTTCAGGCCATTGCCGTGTGTTGTTGGGTTGCAAGTCTTCGTCGAGCCAGGCAAATTGACAATTCAGTCGCATCGCGTGGGATGTACAGGCGATGCTGGTGAATGCCCAGAAGAAGCTTTCCGTGGGAGAGATGCAGATGTTGGGAAGTTTTCTTCTCACGAGAAGAGATAGGTTGCCGCCTTGTGCACGCGCATGTCTCCGGCCCCACAGAGGGGTTGATGTTTCGGCATATGCTGTCCGATTTGGGCAAGCTGCTGCTTTGAATCTTGAGGTGGCCCATTCCTGAGTTTTCTCTCCTGCTTTCAGTGTGCAATGGCAGCCGTAACCAGTCTGCTCCCAGGAGGTGCCTGGGCGTGGTAAGGATGCTATTATTATTAAAAGCAACGGGGCCTTGAAGTTTCGGGGCACGAAGATCTTCAAGTCTTGGAGCACCATCCGTCCGGTGCTCAGTGCGCATTACAAACTAAACCCACCGTTGTAAAGCTCGTCTCAGTCAGGCTGCTTCGGTGCTACGTTCAAGGCCTGTGATCCTGATTCCGTGTCGCAACGTGGCATCCGCGACACTGGGCTTCTGACATGCAGCACTTCAAGCCGTTGAGTCTGTAAGACTCAGACTCAAAGCAAGGACCTGGCCAATCAAGTGAAGCACAGCGTCATGTACAAGGAAGCCATCGGTCCGGATGGTGTTAGCGGCGACTACCTGAATGTGGAAGCAGCAGAATGGTTTTCAGGCCTTGTTGGACCGTTCTTAGCGGAATTGTTTCAAAGTCCTGCTCTGGGAGGCCTGCCTCGCGGCTGGAGCAGCCCATGCACCGGCAGCGTCAACAACGCCGTCTTCCGGAGCATGTTCCCACATGCTCTGAAGGACCATCACTGATTGTCAGGTCATCTGAATCCTGGTAGTCATGGGACGTCGTGTCAGGACGAAGCCCAGAAGTTGCCCGTCATCAGCGTTTTCAGTGGTGTTGGAGGCCTCGAATTGGGAATGTCCAAGCCCGCTTCTCAGCAGGTTTCAGATGCACCGTGCTTTGAACGGCTTGAAAATAACATCACTTGTCAGATACTTCCGAGTCACCGATTACGCCTGGGACTCAAACTCAACATCCAGCCAGTCTGCTTGCGCTTATTATACAGTGTAGTATTCTGGTGTCCGTGCTGAGGTGGAGGCTGACGAGTTCGCTGCAAGCATCATTGCTGCAAGACAGCAGGACGGCTTGCTGCCGCAGGGACCCGTGCATCATGACATCCGTGCCTTTTCGGCTACAACTACCCACCCCGCTTGCGGCGTGGGAGGTGGTTTCCCATGTCAGGCCAGACTCTACATGCTCGGACTCCGGACTCCATGATTGACTGAATGATTCACAGAGCGAGTGGACAAGTGATGCAGTGATGAAGCGTTCTTGCTCCTGGTGCTGTCAGGGCATCAGCCGAGCTGGGCACCAGCGGGGCTGGCGAGACGAGCGCACGAAGTTGCTTGCGCAGGTGTTCAGGGTGTATGACACCTTGAACCCTGAGAGGCCAGCTATATCGCAGCATCGCTGTCTCTCTCTCTCTCTCTCTCTCTCTCACTCTCTCAGAATCATTCTCTCTCCCTCTATCTCTCTTATCTGTGTCTCTGTCTCTCAGTTAAGATTTAAAGTGAATGTCAAGGCTCGAAGCTCCGATTTGGCCGTGTGTGTTTGTACCCAGGAGGAAGATCATTTATTTGGAGAATACAGCGGCCATCCTGTCGCCCGCGCTGCGTGAGGTCCTCCTGTACTTGCTGAAGGACTATAGATTTCGGTTTGATTTGTTGTCGATCTTGGGTGTGCTATCCGGAGTCAAGCAGTCAGTCCCAGCAGCAAGGAGTGTGGCAAACGTGACCTCGAGGTCTTCTGGTGCCAGACAAGCCTTCAAAATGTGGGTTTGCGAGAGACTTGCCTGACTGCAGCAATGATTATAACAGTAACAGTAAGGGTGTGAATTGTGTTCTGCCCGGTTCAAGTTCACACCCAAGGGGTCAAGCTTTATTTATCCCGCTTGTGTAAATTTTCTTTATCTTGGGAGGTTATCAGTCTGACTGAGCCATGGGTTGGGTTCATGGGTTGGTTGCTGTTTTCAATTCAAGGGCTTGTCTTGTTTGGGAGGTGAGGCCCCAGAGCTCAAGAGTCTCCAGGAGTAGGGGGCCGCCCGGTTCGTTGGGCGTGGGACCGCAGTGCAGTAACAAGAATAACATGCCAAGCATCTTCCATCTGAGGCCAGCCGGAGCAGAGTTTTCTTCTGGGCCCTTCGCAAAGGCTGCACATTCTTCGAGGTGTGGCTGGGTGGGATTGGGCCCCGGAACCGGGTAGTAATTGTGGGTGGGCTGGAGAGTGCCTGCGTCAAGAGAGCAAATTTCTTGGCAGGGCATGGCAGCCGGTGGCATCGACAAGTCGGTCGGTCCATGGAATCCGTTGAATGCGCTTCCAATGGAGCAGTGGTTGGTGCCAAACGTGGAGGCACAGGACCGCTTCAGGCTTCATTGCCTCGGCAACTTGGCAAACCCGCAGTCAGCTGAGCTGGCGTGCGACGTGCTGCTTCGCATAGTCACAGGGCAGGACTAGTAGGCAAGCCCAGGATCAGCTGCGCAGGCGTGCAACGTGATGCTTCAAATGGTCCGAGGGTAGAGTTGAAAAGATACGAACGGCAGCAGCACGTGCAATGATGCTCGTCTGAAGATTCAGATTCTTTGGGCAGGAAGCTCTGCATACATTCATTGTTGACTTGTCAAGTCAGCTGCCATGGACACACTTCTCAGCCATGCCACTTGCTGGCGGGCTCCCCAGGTGCAGTTACAGAGTCAGATTCCGTGAAGAATTCAACCCAATTATACATACCACTATTTATTAATTGATCCTTATGCAGCATGGGGTGCTCGTAAGTGATGTTGATACAGGCGTTCTGACCTTCAAGCTTCTACGGAAGCTTACGACTCCGTGTATAAATTATACACGGAGTCGGAAGCTTCCTTAGATGCGACCTTGGAGCCTGCGCTGCCTCACTGCTGATTTACTTCTGATGTCAGCGGGTGCTCCAGATGCAGTGTCTTGTCTTCATATGGGATGTCTGTTTCAGGATGCAAGCCAGAGTCTCCATATGTGATGATAGTGAAATTGTCCATACTTGCTATATGACGATCGAACATCGTGGTCGTGGTATCGGAATTGAATTGGCATCGGTACTAGGACGTGACAATAAGTGCTGACTATAAAACTACTAAGACCCCTTATTAATTAAATCGGAGGTTGGCGCCCGTGAACGATATCGAGTCCGGTGCACCGGCAAGCAGCAGCAACCAGGAGAAGTGAAGTTGGGTTGTTGGATTTCAGCCTTCAAGTGTCAGCTGTGCTCATTGAATTTGGGATGTGGGCGTGTTTCAGCTGCTGACTGCTGATGTTACCTGTTGCCTCTTACTCCGTGTCTGAGCGCGTGCCTGCAGTTCAAGCCCATGTCATGACGAGTCAATATTGGTTTCAGAAGGACAAAATACTTGGCTCAGTGAGTCAGTGCAATCCCAGCCATCATTTACAGGGTCGTGATTCATAATTTGTATCATGCTTAGAAATTTCTCTGGGCAGGAAGTCGGAAAGTGTTCAAGTGCACCCAGAGTGGTTAGAAGTCCCGCAGCCTGATAAATTGATCCTGTCACGCATTTGTACTTTGAGCACGGTTGTCATCTTAGAAGAAGTCCTGCGCTCCAGCAGTGCCTCTGTTGCACTTGATGGTGGACCGATCGTTCTGCCTGGTGCTGTATGATTCTTGGTGATGGTAGGCCGTGCTGACTGTGACGTTGACCATGCCTGCCAGACTTGATGGGGCATGGTTCCTGGTGATGGCGGGCTGCCTGCGGATGTCAATGAGCTGTCAGACAGCTCTGAGAGTGCATGTCGTCGGCCTGCGGGGCCCCCGTTAAAGAAGGCAAGGACAGCTGGCCCTGCTGCAGAGAAGGACAAGCGACGAGCTGCGGCCGACGACCAGTTGCACTTGAAGCGCATGTTGGCCAAATCATGCTACAAAACGTGCAAACGAGGTTGCAAGCGATGGTTCCAAGCTAAGAAGGGCTTTGATGAGTTGCTGGCCTTCCGGAAAGAGTGGAGGCAGTTCCACAAGACGGATCAGGATCAACTCGTCTCCCGACTCACGAATTCAATCATGATTCGTCCAGTAAATATATTATAACGTATTGTGTTGGGTTTTTAATGACTGAAGCCAGAGATCTGGCACTATTAGTATAGTGTTAATTATTCTTATTCCACGACTGTCATTTGTAGTTAAAGCTAGCATTTTCAAAGTAGCAATTTAAATTAAGCGGAGGTACAATCGAAAACTTGAAGTCTGTCATTATCATATCATGTCATGAATTCAATTTTAATGGCGGCTGACAGGTCTTCGAGCGGGTCCGAGAAGCCTTGAAAAAAAAAACAAGTGTGCAAACGCTGGGTGTTTCTGGGCCGTTCTGTATGTCTGCGAGCGTGGCTTGCGCTTCATGGCTTGGGCGCCTTGGCAGCCGTTAGTATTATTATGTTAGTTTGAACATGTCATTCTCAGACTGCCTTCACTATCCATTAATATCGTCATCATCCTTAGGCCCACTGCTAAATTTGTCCCTAAAAGGTCATAGTAAAATTAGTAACCATTCGTTGTGATTCTGTTCGATAGATATCAATGAATTTCGAAGGGGCAGCACGGTTCAAGAAACTGCGGAAAGCTGTCAACGACGGTCTTGCTGGCCCACCTGCCGACCTCCGGTTTCTGAAGAAGTGCAAGCCTACACAGGAAGGCGTTTCGGAAATATTCTCGTTCCTTCAGGAGATTTACAACAGTGTGGCAGAGAATATGCCAGATGTCCGAGATTCTACCATGGATCCAGACCAAGATCCTTACGCAGCGGCCCTTACCAACCCTGACAGAGAGCTGGACTTGCAAGCGGAGGCTGCTGCTGCTGCTGCTGCAGGCGATGCCAGGAAGACTCGACAGCGATTCAGGAGTGTCACAGCTTCTGAGAAGACGGACGACCAGGAACCAAGGTTTCTACCGCCTGGCAGCATGAAGGAATACTTCGAGCAGTTCCTTTTGCAGTCCAAGCAGAAAGTTGGTTTCGCCACGTTCTGGCGGGCAGCTCAACTTCAACATCAGTTAACAGTTTTAATAAATCATAGTATCATAAATAATTACAATAATAGATAAAACTAATTTGGTAACGGACCAATCACAGCCGCGAACCTTGCAATCCAGGTCTGGCGCCGGCACTTCCCACGCATGACATTCAGGCCGACGAGCTCCCATGCAGTTTGCACCACCTGTGTGCGTCATAAGAGTTTGATCGCGTCCTTGAACCATCACCTGAATGCACGACGACACCAACAAGAACTTTACTATGCCCATATTCGTCAGCAGTTCAATGACCGTTGCATTTACTGGTCCATGCGAGGCCTGGCACGGTTGAGAACTGACACCGTCACGATGATCTGCGACGGAATGGATCAGTCGAAGTTCTGTTTACCAAGAAGTCCGTTCATGCGGGCGAAGGCATTCGACTCATGGGCGCGGCCAAAGCAGCACGTCTATTGCTGTCTGGTACACGGACAGTTCATCGCAATGTCCGTCTCCGAGCCTTGTCTGCGCAAAGACTCCAATACTTGTGTGGAACTGGTCGGGTCTTGCCTCCAGCGCTTGAAGGATCGGGGAATGCAGCTCAGCAGGACCCACGTGAATATCCAGGCAGATAATACGTCTCGGGAGATGAAGAACGGACCTGTCCTTCGAATGTTGGCAGCTTTAGTCAGCAACGGATCCTGCTTATCCGCTACGGCATCCTATTTACGCACGGGGCACTCACACGAAGATGAGTTTACTCCTTTAAACTTCCCGAAGCAGAAAGGATGAACTCCTTATTCAGTTTTGCACAAATTTCATGTTTGTTTTAAACTGAAATTAGGAATCACGTTTGCAAGTTTTCCGGGCAGTGAGATGAAGTGTGGCTCCGGCGACTTTCCTCTCAAGTGTGGGCACGGGGAAAACTTGTAAGAAGAGGTCCGGGACTGGCGCAGTGAGATTCGAGGGCTGGACCTTGAAAATTTGCTGGGCGCTTCGCGTACGAATAGCTTGGTGCTGCGTTTCCTGGGCCTAGACTTTTCTTACGAGCTTTTCTGCGTCAACAGAGCTGTCCGAGTCATTTTACTGGCTACTTCGGATTTTGCGGCTGCCGACGCGCGTCGCCTTCGGCTTCGCTATTTCGGTCTCCGCTGATGCAGTCGGAAGCCGAGCTTTCCGATGCCGAAGATGGTCTGCCCTTGACATTCTTTTGGAAAGGGGTGGATGGAAGGTCTTCGGGGCAGCCTGGTGACAATGCTTTGTCTTGCGATCCCCTTGAGGATGCCTCTCAGGCCGCAGGTGTGGCAAGCGGGGAGCATCTGGAGATAAACTCCGTTGATGGGGCCTTTTCTGCGAACTTAGATGTTTTCGAGGAAGATGTTTGGTCCTGTGGGAATTCCGCTGCGGAACGAGATTGGTATAAAGTTGATTTGTCGGAAGATGGTGCTGCTCTGCCTTCAGAGGGTTCAGTGAGCCTTCCGACGGAGGCTCCTGGTTGGGGCTTGTCATCTGCGGCGGCAGGCTCTTCTGCTGCTTCTGCTAGAAATCTGGACAGGTCGATGGCGGCAGCTTTCCAAACTTTGGATGTTCCTCAAGTAAAGCAAGTCTGGGAGAATGATTTCTGGGGAAGTATTTTTACTCCTCAGTCAGAGGATTCCTTCCGTGGGTTTTATGGAACTGGCCTCAAGAGGCCTCTGCAGCCTGGCGTCCCAGAAGGCGTCTTGGAGCAACCTTCGAAGAACCCGCAGAGGGCGGGAAGGGTCGTCACTAGAATTTTCGAGATGGCCGTTGTTAACAGAGTGGTTGCATCATGGAAGCAGCAGCGCGAGGAACAGCTTTTGGAAGCGGTCAGTGCTTGGGCTGTTTTCATTGGCAGATGGTCTGAAGGTGTGCAGGTGCGGGATCAGCTTTGCGAAGGAAGGCCATGACTTACGATGTGCTGGGTGCAAAGGCCCCGGGAACACTTCGCAAGAGGTTAAGGAGTCTCTTGAAGTATGAAGCTTTCCTTCGTCAGAAGAAGCTGGTTTTCCCTGCAAACGAGATTTTACTTTACATGTTCCTCTGTCTTGAAAGGGATGGGGGTGCCAGCTTATCTTCGCGAAAGGCTACGTATGAAGCAGTGGTTTTCTGCAGATACGTCCTGGGGGTAGAGGAGCTGGGCCTATGTGTCAAGAGCAGGCGATGCCTTGGCAATGCGTGCCGTGGCGAGGTGAGGCCGAGGAACAGGGCTTCGCCGCTGACGGTGGATGAGCTCTCCCTTCTGCACGACCGGCTGGAGAACACACAGGACCCGTGGGACCGCGTTTTCGCTGGAGCAGTTTTGCTGTGTGTATATTCGCGGGCAAGATGGTCAGACCTGATGCATGCAGAAGGAATTATTTATGATTATGACAACCAGAAGAATCTTGCCTATGTGGAGTGCCCCGTGGCGTACCATAAGAATATGAGGAGCCGAGTTATGCGGCATGATCTGCTTCCTATGGTGGCTCCTGGCCTGGGAGTTGCGGGTTCCAACTGGGCGAGGCTGTGGAAGCTTGCTAGAGAGGAACTCAACATTCCAGATCCTCCGGAATTTCCTGTCATGCCGGCGCCGGATAAGTCTGGTGCTGCTAGTGTCAGGCCGCTGGACACTGAGGAGATGGGCAGGTGGCTGAGACATCTGCTAACGGGTTCTGGATCGAAGCAAGCTGACAGAAAGCTATCATCGCATAGCTGCAAGTGTACCATGTTGAGCTATGCGGCAAAGAGGGGAATCAGTATTGTCGACAGGCAGCTGTTGGGATATCACACGACGCCGCACCGCATGGCCCTGACATACTCCCGTGATTCTGCAGCTCATCCTTTGATGATCTTGGAGCGGATGATCAAGGAGATAAGGGATCGAGTTTTTCTCCCAGATGAGACTCGTAGCGGGCGCTTGGTGGGCAAAGCCGCTGACTCGCATCAGCGTTCAGAGGTAGTTGTGATAAAGGAGGAACATGACCCGCCCTCTCCTATCGAAGGGGATGATGCTGCTCAAAACCTTGCAGGCGATGAGGAAGCCCTCGACGCTGAGGCCACCGGGCATATCACTACGGACTCTTCCTCCAGCGACTCGTGCGCGGAGGAGGCTGAGGGACCGTTCTCGAAGCTGGTAGTGAATGTTCCTGAGGGTCATGATGTGTGGAGGCACGAGAAGTCGAGAGTGGTGCATTTTGCCCCTACCGGCTACACTAAGGTTTTTGCTTGCGGAAGGGCCATAGGATCTCTGCATGTCAAGATACGGGCAGAGGACCTCCGGTGGGACTTCAGCAAGTGTAGGATTTGCAACAAGAACGTTTGAGCGAGGCGGCTAATAACCGAGCGTGAGCCTTGTTTGCGAGTCTTCAGTTGCATGTTTTCTGCTCGCATGAGCGCACGCCGTGGAGTAGGCCTTGATTTGTTCGCTCGCGGAGGCCCGAGATGTGATCCATGGCAGATTGTTGCATGCAAACATGTGAGAGATTTGCATGGTGTTTGAGTGCGTTTTCTCACGTTGTAGGTTTGTGCTGCTAGGGTGCGTAGGTCTCCAACATGTCGACCGTGATCGAAAGCGAGGCTGCCTTTAATCAGAGATGTGCTGAAGCTTCGAAGGATGCGACTCTGCATACCAAGTTGGTGGCACAAGGCATCCGGTGCTTCAAGACATTGGCTTTCGCGATAGGGTCGCCTCAGCAGCCGCCTACGGAGGCTCAGTTTTATGAATTCAGTGTGAAGGTGTACGGAGCTGCTCCTACCATGGGGCAAACCGCAATCTTGCGGCATCTGCACTTCGAAGCCACGACTCTAGTGGTTCAGACTTACAGGGACATGGTCACCAACGACCCGTCTGATCCATCGCATACCAGGAAGATTCCGGTCCCTGAAAAACGGGCCAGGCTGGAATTCCAGAGGCGGCGACTTTCAGGAATGGAAATTTCTGGAGAGCTTGAGCCTTCGCATCAGCTTCTTGACATAGCAAATCAGCAATACGAGTCCGGAGTTCTTACTTGGATCCCTGCGTCGAAATGTGCCAAGAGGGAAGCTGAGGTCCTTGCATTGGGCAAGGATAGGAGCTCCTTGTTGCAGGTGGAGCAAAACGTCATAAAGGTGGGGCCTGGTGACCAGGCTATCGCTTGTGATGTTTCGGATCCTCTGCGTTTTCAGTGGGCCATGATGCGAAGAGGCATAGCTTTTGATAACTGTCACCTTCTATCTTGGGATGTGCATCAGAGGTGGGTTCAGAAGATGCTGGATTGCATTTCAGCAACCCCGCCACCGAGTTATAGCCCAGTCAGTTTGAATCAATGCATGCGCGCGGATAAGGAGCTTTTTCTGCTATTGGCCAGGGAGGCTGCGCCTCCTTTCAAGGTGGACTCGCTCGGGGTTTCGCCGCTTGATGCAAAGTTTTCAGCAATGATGTAGTATGATGTCCGTCTTCAGCAGTTCCTGTTGCCGCTTCCGAAGCAGACTGCTCCTGTCTTGGCAGTGCCTGTGGATGATGGGGCGGGGAGTTCCTCCCAGCCCGTCCCGAAAGGGAAGGCCAAGGCAAAAGCAAAGGCGAAGGCGAAGGCGCGCATACGTAGGACTGTGCCAGAAGAGTTGAAGCAGTACTCTTGCAGGACAGAAGATGGAAATGTTTGTTGGGATTTCAATCTTGCTTCAGGCTGCTCTCTTAAGACTGAGAAGTGCAAGGGAGGGCTTAAGTGTGTCCGCGGCCTTCACATCTGTGCGAAGTGTCATAGGCCGGGGCATTCAGCAGTGTCGTGCAAAGCCAAGGCGCAAGAGTGACTATCTGAGTCATTGTCGTCCGTTGTGTTGCATGATTCTTCTCACAGTGAGGACTGCACTGTTGGTGCAGCAGCCGCTGGAGAGCAGACTAGGCCGTTGGTGTACCGTGCTCTTGAGCAGGTGCGGGGACCGGCGGAAGGGTCAATCTTGAATGATAAAACACTTCTTCAAGAGAAGTTGCAAGCGTTGAAGGCGAGGGCTCTCGCCTCGATGAAGTCGCAGGTCGAGCCGAGGAAATCTCCTTGTGAAGGCCTGGCGCAAATTTCACCCAAGCCCAGCAGTCAGCTGGAAGTGCCAATGGCAGTGTCACCTGATACTCCTAAATTTGGTTCTAGTCCTCGCCCAAATAGGCCGCAGTTCACTGATCCTGAAGCTCTTGCGAAGTTTCTCTTGCGGCAGCCGTCGTGCTTGACAGCCAGTGCAGCTCTCGATCTTTTGGAGCTTTTGCCTCAGGAGGCGCAAAATCCTCCTAGGGCATTTCAGGGATCGGGTGGAGCCCGATTCAGCATGGGCGTCTACCGGCGTGGCGGGATTTTGGGTTTGCATAGGACTATGGACATGTTCCCGTTTTCTATCAAGGTTTTCAACCTGCTTGTGAGTCGGGTGTGCCCTGCATTCAGTTACTCTTCACTTGCAGTCCATGAAAATCTTGCCTCAGGATTGCACCGCGACGAGAACAATCGTGACGGCCCTACATTGTTGGTGCCTTTGACGGACTTTGAGAACGGTGAACTTTGGTTTCAGAAGGTTGGAGGTGATGTCGCTTCGTTGAATGACCCTTCTTTGGAGGGATGCCTGCTTGATGTGGCCGCCGGCCCCACCTTTTTCTCGAAGCCTAAAGATTTTCATGAGACTAGGCCGTGGAAAGGTCGCAGAGTTGTCATGCTTGCTTATTCGGTGCGTCAGTGCGAGGAGCTCCGGCCTGAATTACGAGCTGTCGCTGAGCGGCTCGGGTTTTCTGTGTCTCCTTTGGGTTTAGGCCCTTTTGTGGTTTCCTGGGACCCTAGGTGCCTCTCCCCTGTTAGGCCGTCACAGCGTGATGCCAGCAGTGTCCAGCAGTCGGCGGCGGGAATGTACTTCGTTGAGTTGTGTGCTGGGACAGCTGTTCTTAGTAAGGCAGCTGCAAAGTTAGGCTTCAGGCCTTTTGCAGTTGATTCCTCTAGAAAGAGGGCTGGTGAACAAGCTGTCATCATGGATTTGAGTGATCCAGCTCAGGCTGACGCAGTTGTCGATTTCTTGCGAGTTGAGTATCATCACGTCATCTGTGTTTTCATCTCACCTCCGGTGGGCACCGCATCTTTCATGCGTGAACGGCATAAGCCGGGTTCTGTTGAACTTGATTTGAAGATGCCAAATGCTTTGAGGTCGGCGTTGCATCCGGATGGCTTGCCGACTTTGCGTGGTCGTGATAAACTCCAGGTTGAGCGTGCAAATCAACTGTTTGATCAGCTTGCATACATTGCATGTGAGGCTTGTGATCTTGGAATTCTGACAGTCTTGGAGAGTCCTTCTAACAGCCGTTATTGGGACACTTCTTTCTGTGCTCAGGTGACCAATCATGTGCAGGGTCACTTTGTGAAATTTCATGCCTGTGTGCATGGGGGTCACCGGCCCAAGTTGATGCAGCTTTGGTCGTCACAGGACGTTTTTGGCATGCTTGCGGGTCGCTGTGACGGGTCACACGAGCACAAACCGTGGCGACCTTTCATTTCGAAAAGGAAGCGGGTGAGCTTCATCACAGCAGATGAACCCGAATTTCCCCCGCTCCTCGTCGATCGTATCCTTGGTTGCATCGTTCATGCGCATCCCAGCTTGTCCTTCGGGCCACGTGTGCTTGCGCAGGCAATACAGGATCCTTCTGCGAATGTCGCCAGGATCAATCTGGGCACTCAACCCAGGGGCAACTCCTTGCCTTCGCTTGTGTGGGAGTTTGACACTACGTTGGATTTCGTTGTGCCCGTGCAATGTGACAAGCCGTTGGAAGCTGTGCTTTCTTCCCTTCCAAAGGGCTCCAGAATCTTCTCGAGACGTGTGTGTGAGTGGGGTTCGCTGAAGAGTCTCCTCGAAGGAGTTGGCAAGCCAAAAACAAACATCGTGGGCTTGGACCCTTTGCATCCGCCTGCTTGTGCAGAGCTTGTGCAAGTCGGTGTACCGTGCTCTGAAGATGTCTTTGTTGCGAGAGCTATTGCGGCAGGCCACCCACGGTCCTTGGCAGTCCATGTTGAGCCTTTCGTCACCGTTAGTGCACGTGCTAACTTTGAGGCTCCTCCGGCAGAACTTGCGTCCTTCAGGATTGATGCAATGAAGTTTTGGATTGGTCGTGCAGGGGCCCTCAAGGAAAAGGAGCAGGAACTTCACCAAAATCTCCCTGATCACCTGCGGCCCATACTTAAAGGAAAGAAGCTCTTGCTTCTCCAAGAGATGATGAGAGCCGCAGGGTGTGAGGATGTCGACCTTGTTTAATTCTGATATATGCCAAGGTTTCAAGTTGTCGGGCTGGCTTCCCGCGTCGGGTGAGTTTGTGCCGAGGTCCAGACGGCCCAAATTCAGTGTCGAGACGTTGGGAGTTTTGTCGAAGGGCTTGAACAAAGCGACCTTGCAAAAGCTGTCCAGGAGGCAGGATTCCGAAATTGAAGAATCCACCTGGGTTGAAACCCAAAAGGAGATTGACGCAGGTTGGGTGTGGCTTGAGGAAGGGCCGGTTCCTGAGATGGTCTCGATTGCTATGCGCTTCGGAATCATGCAGAACAAATTGAGGGTCATCGATGACCTTTCTTGTTGCGGCCTAAACGCGACAGTGGGCTTGCTGGAAAAGTTTTGCTTGCATACGATAGATAAGCTTGCGGCCATGATGGCTCATGCCTTTGATGTCGTGTCCGGTGTTATGCCTGAGTGCTGCGGCAGAACTTTCGACCTTACGGCAGCGTACAAGCAATTTGGTGTGTGTGCTGCTGACCGTGAAAGGCTACGCATTGCTGTCAACAGGCCAGGCCACCACAAGCCGAGCTTCTTGGGCGTAAACGCCCTCCCCTTCGGAGGGGTGGGGTCGGTCGCTGCTTTCCTAAGGATAAGTATCGCCTTGTGGAAGATCGGAATAGTCCTTTTCAGGCTATTCTGGTCTGCCTTTTTCGATGACTACAGCATAGTTTCTGCGAAGAGCCTGGAATCGAATGCCCAGTGGACTGTGGAAACTTTGTTTGACCTGCTTGGTTTCCGCTTCGCCAAGGACGGCTCCAAAGCCGAACCCTTCGGAGTTACCTTCAACATGCTCGGCCTCTCTGTTGATCTGTCTTGTGTGAAGCAGCGGATCCTTCGTGTGGGTCATACTCAGAAGCGAAAGGAGGAGCTCACCGAGTACATCCAAACCATCCTTCAGGAAGGAAAGATCGACTCGAAGGCGGCCGAACGCCTTAGGGGTCGTATGGTTTTCTTCGAGGGTTTCACCTTTGGAAGGGTTTCTAACCGGGCTCAGCGAGTTGTTGCAAAGTGCGTGGAAAAGTCTGCCCCTCAGAATCTTACTGAAGATTTGATGTGGGCGTTGACGTGGCTTCGTGAAAGAATAGCCCTGAGCCAGCCTTTAGTTGTCGAGCGAAACCTCATCACAACGCTGATCGTTTTCACTGACGGGGCTTGCAATCCAGAGGAAGGCACGGGAGGTGTCGGAGGCGTCCTTGTGAATGCCTCTGGTACTCCGTGCGAGTTCTTCGGTGAGGCAGTTCCAAGCGATATGATGCAGCAGCTTTTGAGCATCAGCGCAAATCCCATTTTCGAGCTTGAGTTGATTCCAGCACTGATCAGCCTTGTCATTTGGGCAGAGCGCTTGAAAGGAGCTCAAGTGGTGTTTTATCTTGACAATGATGGTGCGCGCCATTCTCTGATCCGAACCTTTGGCGGTGGCTCACTCGCCAATGCTGTGATTGAATCTTTCCTTCAGCTTGAAACCACTTTGCAGCTGAAGACGTGGTTCGCTCGCGTACCGACTGCTTGCAACATAGCAGACAATCCCTCACGGCTGGAATTTGAGCCTCTTTTAAAAAGAGGTGCTGCAAGGCGTGCTATTCCGTGGGACCAGGTCATGCCGTAGATGATCGGGGTGAAGGAAGACGGCACGGAGTGTAGCATCCCACGTGGAAAAATAGAGTTGCGCGAGCAAGGGACCTTCGCACATTTATATGGATATATATTCCATAGAAAACATATTGGATTCCGGTGTGCAAATAAGGAATAAGAGTTTACTCCTTTAAACTTCCCGAAGCAGAAAGGATGAACTCCTTATTCAGTTTTGCACAAATTTCATGTTTGTTTTAAACTGAAATTAGGAATCACGTTTGCAAGTTTTCCGGGCAGTGAGATGAAGGTGGCTCCGGCGACTTTCCTCTCAAGTGTGGGCACGGGGAAAACTTGTCCCGCCCTCCCGACCCAGAATTTTTGAGCCTACCCCTTAGCCGTCTGAAGGAAGACGGCACGGAGTGTAGCATCCCACGTGGAAAAATAGAGTTGCGCGAGCAAGGGACCTTCGCACATTTATATGGATATATATTCCATAGAAAACATATTGGATTCCGGTGTGCAAATAAGGAATAAGTAGATCAGCTCTTCGGCCAAGTTGCTAAGCATCTAAAACGTGTGAGACAGTGCCAAACTTCGGAGGAGCTGGTTTCGCATGTGCAATCTTTTTTGGATGCCCTGCCACGCCCGTACGAACCGGGCCGCTTTGCATTCAAGGTGGACAACACCCGTGAATGGCGGCTGGGAATCAATGGTTCTGATGCGGGAAATCAAACTTAGTTAAGTCAGAGTTTGACAGATTCCACTCCAAGTTCAAGTTGTTTTCGTTCCATCCGACTGACTTAATTATTAATCTCCATATAATATTATACACATTGAATGCGAGCCACTTCTTCCTTGTACTGTCGCCGCAAGGGTTTATTTAGTTTGTCACAGCTGCTGTGCTAGGAAAGGCTTCTACCTCAAGGCCGTACCTGTGCAGCTCACTGGCATCGCTGGCCCTGGTGCCCCGCATGTCTTCCGCTTCGAGAGACGGTGTGATGCAGGATCATGATGTCACATTTAATTACCAATGTGCACTGGCACAGTGTGCAAGTAACAGTAACAGTAATTAGTTTGTCACCGGCATGCCATTTCATTGTCTTCCCTTGTCATTATGAGTCTCGAATGCAGGACTCGACGAGAACAGCATCAACGACAAGTTTTGGGGTTCAAAGTACCCGGACCACCCGCACGACGTCATCCTGCGGTTCCGTGTTTGCATGAATCATGAATTATAGGTTCTTGAGGCTTTGTTGACTCTGCTCTCGTTGTTACAATAATTCCGGTTTCAACATGGGCGTGCAGGACCAAGCAGTGGATGGCAGACAAAGATTGGTCGGACTGTTTTCGCTTTTTGCCCCGTGCGGTAGCTGTGGCAAGGTTTCCCCAGGGACTTCCCCAAGGCAGCTCCGGCACAAAGTGTTCCTTTTTTCAATACATGGGTTAGTTTTTAAGGCTGGAAAATGAAGCTTGATGGTCTGAGGGTCTCACGGGCTTCGAGTAATTTAATGTAGACCCCGAACCCGGAAACCTTCTATGGGTCCTTTAGTTTTGTGCAAACCCCGAAGATCGTCTTGGGGGAAGGCTTGGCGGTTCAATTGCGTTTAGGATTGATCTCAGAACCAAAGTGTACCAATCTGTTCCTTCTGCATTGCCAGTTCTGGCGGAGAAGAACCCCATTGATACCACCACGCGCGAGCACATTGCGAAGTACGCGCCGATGCTGCGTGACCGGGCTTTCAGGCTTGACAAGGCCGCTGACTATCTGGAAAGTTGGGTGGCCGGGGTTCTCGTGGAGAAGCCATTGCTCAACTGCGATGTGACACCTGCTGTGCATTCAGTGGGCATCAGATTTTTATATTGCATACAGCTACTTGAAGAAGGTTTCTTATTCATACCTGCCAAGCGTGTGACTTGATCCTTGTATTTCGCAGTCTACAGTAGTATAGAACGAGCGTTTCAGGGACCTTCCACGTCAGACTGCCTGAGGCTTCGCTTGGATGGGAATGCTGCTGCTTCGAGCAGTGACGTTCCAGCCCCACCAGCAGCAGTTCTGGAACCGTCTGCAAACCCTCTCAGGCACGTGAGTTTCTGAGATTGCAAATTGAGAGCAGCAGCAGCAGCAGCAGCAGCAGGAGCAGTAATTGTACTACTAGTAGTCGTCGTCCTCCTCCTCGTAATCATAATCACAATAGCAGTCAGTAGCGGCAGCAGCAGCACCAGGAGTAGTAGTAATGATTATTATTATAATGTAGTAGTAGTAATAACAATAGTAGTAGGTACTAGAAGTAACAGTAATGGAAGTCATGGCAGTAGTGTAGTAGTAGCAGCAGTGTGGTAGTAGAAGCATTTAATGGCAAGTACTAGCAATGCTATTACAGTTTGGTTGTTCTTGTTGTTGTTATTGTTCTTCTTGTTATTGTTATGTGACGGTGGTAGTGGTGGCGGCGTTGTCGTTCGTAGCTGCTTTCAGGATATTGTTGGTGGTGGTGGTGGTGGTGGTGGTGTTGGTGTTGGTGTTGTTGGTGTTGTTGTTGTTGTTGTTGTTGTTGTTGTTGGTGCTGTTGGTGTTCTTGTTGTTTTGCACGATCGGGGCATGCACATATAATGAATGATGTATACACGGGGCCCATTGGCATTTTGCAATCCCCTGGACTCTGAGCAGGCTTGGCCGTCCGAAGGATCACACAAAACTCGTCCGTGAGTACGATCAACGGGCCGAGCGATCGATCGTGCTGCGTTCAGCCGCGACAGCGTGGGCTGATGGAGTACCCTGGGCAGACGCTCTTCACATGGCAGAAGTCGCTCAGGAGCGTGCCGAAGCTGCGTCTGCAAGGCGTGATCGGGTCGCCGGTAAAGGCCGCGGGAAGCAGGGTGGGCCACGTGGCAAAGGGCGAGCTTCTGCAGTCGCTGCTGGCGCGGCGGCCTGACAATCACTCGTCGACCGAGGTGGGTCATAGAGATCCAAAAGCACCGTAATTAGAAATGGAGTGATTCTTTTATAACCCAAATACAGAAGGGGTTGCCCGAACGAGGGATGTTCTGCAGCCATTATCCAAATTTAGGGGCCTTGAGACGATCCTAAACCTAAAAATAGAGTTCCATGGCTTGGCTGCAACGAAATTAGGCTAGAAACATTTCTTGCTCTGGTCGATTTCGGTCTTATTCGCTGGGTTTTTCATAGATTCTGAATTACGAGTTCGATCTTCAAAAACCCAAATTTGACGACGGTCCGGCCGTGGCCGGTCATTCTCCCCGGGAAGGTGCTAGTAGCGTGCGTATCTACTTTTCGCCGCACGAAAACGCAAAAAAATTGGGGTGCGGCATTGTAGTTAGGAGAGACTTGTCGGGGTTGGAGTAAACATGGCTGGCGCGGACACCCGCCCAGCCTGGCGGCTGGTGGGTGGCGGATTTCTAGGCTCCTGGAGCCTAGAAACCCCTCAGAATCGCGGAAACGCCCATTGTTCAGCAGATTTTGCGTGCTAGAGTGGAAACCTATTGAAATGGCCGGCCAGGAGGAACCACCGATTTGTGTTGAAACCCAGGTGCTTTTCAACTCAAATCGCTCCCGCGGTCCTGCGTCGCGAGAAGCGTTTAGCGCGGAATCCCTCTGTCCAACGCGAGAGGCGTTTGCGTTGAATCCGTCCGACGCGAGAGGCGTTTGCGTTGAATCCGTCCGACGCGACAGGCGTTTGCGTCGAATCCTTCTAACGTCGGTTGGCCAAAGCCCAATTTGCGATGAATCACAGGTAGGATTCGACTCAAATTGGGGCTTCGGCGAGAGAGCCGATTTGTGATGAATCCCAGGTGGGATTCAACTCAAACTGGGCCTCTGGGCCAGGCTGGACCACCCCTGAAATTTTACAGGAGTAGTGAAACCTGGCCCAGAGGCCCATTTTGAGTTGAATCCCACCTGGGATTCATCACAAATCGGCTCTCTCGCCGAAGCCCCAATTTGAGTCGAATCCTACCTGTGATTCATCGCAAATTGGGCTTTGGCCAACCGACGTTAGAAGGATTCGACGCAAACGCCTGTCGCGTCGGACGGATTCAACGCAAACGCCTCTCGCATCGGACGGATTCAACGCAAATTTTTTTCGCGTCGGACAGACAGATTCAACGCAAACGCCTCTCGCGTCGGACGGATTCAACGCAAACGCCTGTCGCGTCCGACTGATTCAACGCAAACGCTTGTCGCGTCGGACAGACAGATTCAACGCAAATGCCTCTCGCATCGGACGGATTCAACGCAAACGCCTGTCGCGTCGGACGGATTCAACGCAAACTTTTTCAATCGCGTCGGAGGACAGACAGATTCAACGCAAACTCCTCTGAATTGATTTGTCTGTGACCGCAACACCTTCAGTGTTACAGACAGTCGGGGACAGACAGACAGACAGACAGACAGACAGACAGAGAAACACATCATCATGATGTCATCATGGCTACTAGTAATAGTTAATTGTACTGTATCGAAAGTCTTTGTCCATGTTCTCTTTCTTTAAGCCCTGCAGGAGCCTGCGGGACGATTCGGTGTGACAAGCGGTGCTCTGTTTGTTTGCTTCTGGATGCTGGTCCTGGACGATCATTACATAATCTGGTCTGACAGCTGCTGCAAGCCACACGTTGTGATTCCATGGTCTCCTTTCACGTGGAGCCCAAGTGGCTTTGAGTCACTGCACCGATGCTGTTGCAGTGCGCCCACCGAGTCCGACTCCAGCAAAACAGTTCATGTGCGAAGTGTCTAAATTAAATCCATAGCGCCTCTCAGCTCCAAAACTGTAACTTCGATTCGGCAAGCTAAATTAAAGTGAAGCTGAATGTTCCAGCCTGTCCAATTACCCAAAACAGACATGCAATAATAATTTACCAGATTGAAATCAGACAGGTCAGCCTCAAGGCCCATAGCTGCTCCTTACAATGACAGGCCCAGAATGTCCCAGTTTCCGTCTTTATGGCAGCATGTCAATGCCCCTTAGATTGCCGCGCAGGTTTTGGCGTTCCGCAGATTCTGCTACGGCGATGAGAATGTTCAGTTAGTCAATTCAGAACAAGCGTCACTTGGCCTCATTATCACAGTTCTTCAGCCGGGACCCTTGGCAGCAGGACATATTTAGTAGTCGCCTGGAGCCTTTGATGTGCATTACAGTACGCTTCTCATTGTCTGTTGCTGAGCCATCCTAGGACAGTGGCGCCTTATTGACTGAGTGTGAATTTGACATCATAAGAAATTGGGCGGCTTGCTATGCAGCGCTGAGAGTCGCTTTCTGATGCACTGACCAGGCTCAGGTAGCCCTTGATGCATCTGATGTGTCAGCATTGATGCTCTCATCCCTCAAAGTTTTCCGACTCGAGCGTGCGGTTGACTCTGTCGATGTGAGGACCTAGCCTAAGTAACTGAATCACTTAACCTGGTGTTAAGTTAAGGCTTCAGGCTCAGTTTCATGTCATTCGGTGTTACATGTTTTGAATTCAGATTCATTCATTCAATGTCACTGGTCCCGCTGCTGAGTATTACTACTGTTACTCTCTAGGCCAGACTACCTTAACCTAGCATGGTGTTAAGTTGACGGCTAGTTTCAGGTTCATTCTGTGTTACTGTTACTGTTACGAATTCAATTTCATCCTTTCAGCATTGTACTGTAGGCCACACCGACAAGCTTAATTGCAGTCCGGCCGCTTGCCGAGCGAAACTTGTCCTGAACTCAGAGATTCATTCAGTGACAGTGCAGTAGTCCTGCAGCTTGGGCCCTGCCTCACGGAGTGAGTGACCATGGCCGGCAAGCGGAAGTCAGGGGAGGGCAAGGCTGGGCCTGCCAATGCGAAGGCAGCCAAGCAAGGAGCAAATCCGGCCACCCTGGAAAAGTACAGCTATGTTCACAAGATCACGGCTTGGAAGCTTGTTCTGCAAAGTTCATGCTAAACTGTTCAGCAGCAGCTCTAGGACTAATAGATAAACATCACCTGGCGCATACTTTAAGCCATGGACTGTGACATGCCTCTTGTTAATCTACTGCACGTGCTGGACCTGATGGAGTGAGCATCAACAGTCCGTTTCCTCTCTGAGTCTGAGGCTCAAGGACACCGTGCTGCCCGCCGGCTCCATCGACGCCTTCCTTAGCAACCAAATGGACACTGAGGCAAGGCAATTGTTGTAAACTCGTCATGGGTCATAGTTATCAGAATCATTCATTCAGTCTAATAAAGTCTAACTACTAATACTAAGTCACTACTGAGGACTTCGTCCCAACATGGCATTGTTGCTCACCCTCTGTCTGCTAGGAGAAAAAGCTTGACTTCGCCCGGTGGATGGACAACTTCTGTCCTGCAGATGCTGAGCACCTTGACTGTTTCGACACAGTTGAAACACAAACGATTTTTTTTGCACTGCCTGCACCTGCAGGAAGGCCTACAGCATTGACAGCAACGGCTGCTACTTGAGGCCCTTCCAGTTGGGATGGCGCTCAGATTTCGGAATTAGCGGAATGATGGAGCCTGAAACGGCCGAGCTCCTCCTGGAACTCATCTTGACAGAGGGGCTACTGGACCCAGTACTAGTGTTACTTTAATGTGTACTTATAATCTTCTTGATCTGGTCCGGGTTCTGATTTGACTTGCGATCTAAGGTTCCTGACTGACCCCAACGTTGTCGGTGTCGAGAAGTTGGGCGTCACGATGCCTCCACCGGAGTACCTCGACGGCGGCATCACCGAATGCCCCGCCATCAACCTGGGCAGTAACTTGGGAGCATAGCGCGAGTCATATCTGATATCATTGGGCTGTGCATTTGATGTTGTGATTCAGGTGCTTTGTTGCCACCCTTCAGTGTCGGGTACGTGAAAGGGTGGAAAAGAGCAGTGTGCTTGATCCTGGCACTCTGTGGAATCAGAGTGCTGGGATTGGAGGCAGAAGTGCCCCACCGCATTCGTGCGCCTGGTCTTTACATCAACACATGCTGTAATTAAAATTTATCATAGTCAGACAGTGTAAACGTGAAGCCTTTAGATATTAAGTTTTAAAATAAAAGAGTGAGATTTCAGATCATTTCCCGGCCTCAGGTGACAATGGGCACCATCCACTGCTCCTTCGGAGCCTTTCAAGATGTGAAGGCCAAGGTGTTGGCTTCGCGAGGTGGCCTGCATGCACCAAGTCAAGACAATTGGCGTCGACAGTCATAGACCGATAACTGGTTATTATTATTTGTTGTTAAAACTGACATAGGAGTGACCCTCGCGTCTACCCTACCGCAACGCGGCGACCCCCAAACTGCTTCCACTTCCTGCGTCAAGTTGTCATCTTACAAAGAGCTGGAGCAGGAGGAGCCGAACAGCAGTTTTCGGAGACTCAGAACGAGATAGCAACTTGAAGACGTTTGGCTTTATGTTCGATTCCTAAGAAGTCTTGTTATTCTCAGTCTCAGGATTGGCACTCCCAGACTGCCATTGCGAAGGCCTTCCAAATAGGCCGGAACGAAGCCGGAGCTGTGCAGCAGCTCATCACGGCCGTGCCGAAGGATGTGAAAAATGCATTGGAAACGGCAGTGAAGCAACGAGGTATGGTGAAGTTTCTGGGCCATGAAGCTGTGGCACGACAACTCTTCAGTGCCTCCTACACCAACACCTCGCCGGGCATGGATGCATGGCGGGACCAGCTGACAAACGCCCCGGGCGATTCCAGGATTGTGACTGAACGTGAACATCTGGTTTGCAAAATTTGGGGTTGAGGGATTGGCTCTTGAACTTAATTAAGCTTTCTTAGTGGTCTACTATACACTATACTGCACCAGACACGTAGAATGAGATCATCGTGAGCATAATCCTTTCGTTTTCAGACCTTGGCCAGTGTAGTCCAATCAGAATCATAATCATCATGCAATACTTGTCCGAATCATCATGACCATCATCATCCTCAGCTCACGCGCCCCCTCGATCATGGCTGGCTATGTCTATCTCTATCTCTATCTTTAGCTCTATCTTTATCTCTATTTCTATCTCTACCTCTACCTCTATAAGGCATCTTTGCTGGTGGAGCGCCTCGTCAGCGACTTCGACCTCGCGCCCGAGCCCCTGCGCAAGGTGCCTTGGAATCTTAGTGGTTTCAACTGCAAGTTTGGCCTTCAGAATAGAATACTGAGAATCCAAGATTGGTTGCAGCAGTGTTAAACTTAGCTTCCTCAGGCACCAACCTACAAGGAAACGGTGACAAAGCATGCTTGCTGTGCTGCCATGCTGCACTTCCTCGGCCTCTTGGAAGCCATGTGCCCCGGCAAAGAGTTT